GAAAGGTCCAAGTGGACAAAGAAAAAAGGCATAAGCATAAACAAGCAATATGATATGATAATGACAATAATAAAGCAATATATATATATATATATATATATATATATATATATATATATATATATATATATATATATATATATATATGTGTGTGTGTGTGTGTGTGTGTGTGTGTGTGTGTGTGTGTGTGTGTGTGTGTGTGTGTGTGTGTGTGTGTGTGTGTGTGTGTGTGTGTGTGTGTGTGTGTGTGTGTGTGTGTGAAAGCAAATCACTTAAAGATAAATGTTCATAAAAGTAAGTGACATAAAAATAAATGTTGACACAATTATATGGTTAATGTTAGTGTGAGAATTAATAATCCGAATTGGGACAAATTTAGTCTATGTTAAGCAATCGTAGCATAATCTATAAGGAAGATCATACTATGGGATACCGGTCAATAATAATTTATGTACCATATATGATAGAGATCATTGTCCTAAAACATGTAGCACAAGTTAAAACAAGGTGGATCAAGACCTAAGTCAAGGAGAGATTTTCCCATTACATCAATCAATCCTTCATGATACTTAGGACAAACTTATGAATCAATCCAAAGTACCTCAATTGATCAATGATCAATCAAATGGTAGACTTGAAATGATGAAAGTTCATCAAACACCAAATAAGATCTCATGAACAAGATGGACTACTCATCCTCCAATTGATCAAGAGAAAAGGTGAAAAAGAAAAAGAAAGATATGAAGATAGAATGAGATAACAAAAAGGACAAGCAAACCAATTTGGATCAAGTCATTAATCAAGTTATCATCAAAATCAATCATCCATTTTGGTAGATTAGGGTTTTCACCTCATCAACACCCAAGATCCATAGAGTTTGATGAAACTTATGATCAAATCAACCAATATCCAAGGTCAACAAAAGTCAATATAGGTCAAACAAGAATAATATGCAATAAAATGAAATAAATGCATTAAAAAGATTTGGCTAAATTACAGTTTTAGTCCTCCTATTTTGTCTGATTCACGAAATTAGTCCCCCTATTTTAAATTTAAACAGTTTTGGTCCCTCTATTTTAATTTCAAACAGTTTTAGACCCCCTATTAAATTTTTTTCATATAGAATTGATGAATTTTTTGTTTTTTAACTTATATTTGTATTTACAAAGTTCAATAATAGGTTTATGTACGATGATTTGTTATGTTTTACATATAAATTTTCATTTAAAAAAATGAAAATATCGTTAATTTTAAGTTCAAAAATATGAGAGGGGACTAAAACTGTTTAAGTTTAAAATAGAGGGACCAAAATTGTTTAAATTTAAAATAGGGTGACCAATTTCGTGAGTCAACCACTCAAAAGGAGTTAGGAGTCGTCTAGATCATTCACAACGCGAGAGAATTACCACAAGGAAAAATACAAGCTATCCAAGTCTCAGATATTACCAACAACTTTCCGCATTACTTCTAACAAATAACAAGTTGTTATAACTTCTCAATTCTATAAGAAAAACGCGTCAATCTCAGGTACACAATTTCAAATTCAATTTTCATTCATTCTTCTCCTTCACATAGTGACTAGAGCGGCAGAGTGATAATCTTACAAATAAACATCTTCCCCGTTGCACCGGAAGCTCCAATCTACTATCATTCATTGTAATTACTAATTCACCATTCAATTCTAGTTTATAATTTTTTTTTTGTAATGAGTTCTAGTTGCTAACTTGTTAACTTAGATTTTTAGGTACTTCTCATATTCTCGTATGGATTTTAAATTTTTTTTTTAGGAAAAAAATCAATTCTAAATTGTTTCTTGAACCAGCCCGTTTGAGGCATCTGGCTTGTCCACCATTGAACAGAGCAACAAACTCTTCCTATCAACAGTTAGCACTCACTTGATTCCGAATAAACCATGAGTTTCTGTCTCTTAACCAAAGCATGGCGACAACAGACCCAATCCAAGAACCACACCGCCTTTTCTCCCATATTTCCTCGCTATTTTCCTCGCAAATCCCAACGGTTCGTCATTCCTCAAACAAAGTTCATCTCTCTAATTCTCTCTTTTTCCTTTCTAACATTCACTAATAATTATAACCGGCACCCACAATGGGTAAGAGGACCGAACGCCCACAACAACTACCGAGGGGCATTCGAAGTAGCAACATCCTCAGATTGCTCTAAAGTAGTTGAAGTGGCCACTATTGTCTGTCATGGCCAAATTTTCTGCCTTAAGAGACAGAGCGATTCTTCATCCTTCATTGAATCTGCATGCAATCATTAGCAAAATAAACATCACACACGTAAGCAAGTTGAAGTCCAGGAAGCAAAGAGCATTCGAGACTTACCAACAACAATCTTCCTTTATTCCCTTATAAATGAATCCATTAGTAGGCGGGTAACGTTGAGGTGTTTCAAGCATTTTCGGGAAGCTTCATCCTGAGGAGTAACACCCTCGAGATAACCCGTATCTTTGATGAAACTTATCATCAGTTTCTTCATATACAACTCTTCTTGAGAAAGGTTGTCCCTTTTGTAGACATACAACTCATTTCCCATCAAAAAATGACCCCCGTTTTAGAACTTAGGGAACAATTCGATACATTTAGCCCCTGCTCCAGCTCTGACAAAACATACTGTTGCACGAGCCTCTGGGAGAATAGGGGTAATCAAGAAGAATAAATCTTTAAATTGCTTCAAGTTCTCTTAAAAAATCTCAAAGCCACAGACGATCAACACTAGGAAAATTAAACCATGGCTCTGTGCCTGAGTCACAGGACCACGTTGGACTTTGAAGAGGTGGAAGAAAGGGGTCAGAGAAGGTCCCACATTCAAATTTTTGCACAAATACTAGAAGACTTTCACATACGCCTAATTTGCAAGGTGAAGTTGTAGTAGAACAACCATATGGTGTTTAAGAACTTCCATCTCAAAACCATTGAAAGGCAGTCAAAGACCCATGATCGAGAAAATGCACTCATAGAAAGGGATGACACAATCACCATAATCACTGCAGATTCTTTCATTTTCATCCAAGGTCAAGACACCCTGATCAAAAGATGGACCAACATTAAGAAAGGTCCCGTCAAGATTACCCTCTCGAACGAAGATAGAAACAATTGAAGAATAAACATAATTTGAGCACTTCCTTTTAACTTTTTGACTTTTGACTCATGATGGATATGATTTTTTTCCAAGCACGGGAAAGGGAAATATCAACGGAAAAGAGGTAACAACGAAACAGGAAAGACAACCCATTAGAATGAGAAAATGACTCTTCAAAAAACATGTGATGACATAATAGACCCTATTATGAGGGTACCTTCGAAAAGACATTTGAAACATGATTCTTCCAAGGGTCATTATGAGGGTACCTTCGAAAAGACATTTGAAGCGTGGGGCCCTAAAGACGAGAATTTCCAAAGGAACAACTGAAAAGAATAGTAAGCAGATGAGGCAAATATGACAAACCCTTGCACTGCCATACATAAACAAGGGCTTGCGGGGCAATTGTTTTGGGTTGACCACAATGGTAACTGGTCGACCACTCAGAAGGAGTTACGATTCGTCTAGATCATTCACAGCGCGGGAAAATCACCATAAGGGAGAATACAAGCTATCCAATTCCCAAATACGTCCAACAACTTTCCGCATTACTTCTAACAAATAACAAGTTGTTATAACTTCTCAATTCTATAAGAAAAACACATCAGTCTCGAATACACAATTTCAAATTCAATTTTCATTCATTCTTCTTCACATAATGATTAGAGCGTCAGACTGATAACTTTACAAATCAACATCTTCTCCACCGCAGCAAAAACTCTAAGGGTCTGTTTGGTTCAAATGAGGGGGAGGAGAGGGGAGGGATTTTAATGAAGGGGAGGGGAGGGGAGGGGAGGTGAAGGAATTTTTTAATCAAAATAAGTGTTTGGTTCAAAAGAGAGGAGGGGAGGGGAGGGGAGGGATTTTAATTAAAAATGTGTTTGGTTCAGAAGGGGAGGGGAGGGGTTTTATTAATATTTTACATTTTTATCCTTATGATCTTATATAAGTCATATGATATTAAAATGTGAAAAATTCGTGCGTATTTTTGTTGGTAATAAAATTTCTAATATTGAGTGATTAAAAAAATATTTATTTGTCACATAAAGTTAAAAAATTGAGTACAATCAATTCGACTTATAACTTTCCAACATAAATTAAACTATATGCCAATAACATCGTTTAAATTGTGATGAATCATATAACAAAACAAATATATAAAATAACTTATTACTAAATATTAATGATTCAAAATATTTAATAAAATGAATAAACAAAAATAAATAAAATGACATGGTTTTCAATTTGATACAAAAGAAAATATAATAGAGTATATAACAAAATTAAAAGGAAAAAACGAATATAACAAAACATAATTTTTTTTATAAAAAAAAAGACAATGATTATGATTTATATTAATTATAAAAATTATAAAATAATTTGAAGATGGAGAACAATTATAATAAGTTGATGAAAACAAAATATAATAATTTTTAAATATCAAAACTCATATTCCCTCTCCTCCCCTCCAAATTCCCCCAATTCGGAGGAAACCAAAAAGTGTGTTTTGGAGGGATTTTACTCCCCTCCCCTCCCCTCCTCTCCTAAAATTTGAACCAAACATATTTAATTAAAATTTTTCTCTCCCCTCCATCTACCCCGAACCAAACACACTCTAATTTACCATTATTCATTTGTAATCACTATTTTACCGTTCAATTCTAATTTATAATTTTTTTTAATAAATTCTAGTTTCTAACTTATTAACTTAGATTTTTAGGTACTTCTCATATTCTCGTATGGGTTTTTTAATTTATTCTTATTTTTTTTAAGGAATAAAATCAATTCTAAACTGTTTCTTGAACCGGCCTGTTTGAGGCATCTGGCCTGTCCACCATTGAAGAGAGCAACGAACTCTTCCTATCGACAGTTAGCACTCACTTGATTCCGAACAAACTATGAGCTTCCGTCTCTTAACCAAAGCATGGCGACAACAGACCCAATCCAAGAACCACACCGCCTTTTCTCCCATATTTCCCCGCTATTTTTCTCGCAAATCCCAACGGTTCGTCGTTCCTCAAACAAACTTCATCTCTCTAATTCTCTCTTTTATTTTCCTCTCTAAAATCCTACTCCTTATTATAACCGATCTCGTACTGTTAATCAGGCCATCATTCGGCATTGCTTTCGACATCGACGGCGTCATTCTCCTCGGCAACACTCCCGTCGGTGGCTCTCCGACAGCATTGAGAAAATTATACGATGCAGAAGGTAAACAAGAAAAATTAATACAATTCTCGCTATTTCTTATTTACAATCATTAACTTGTAAATTTATTGATCTGTTTATTTTGTTAGGTAGAATGAAAATCCCATACGTTTTCCTTACCAATGGTTAGTACTTCTTTTATTTCATTTGTTCTGTTTATTATTAGTTTCAGAATTTCGTCTTTTGGTGCAATTAGGTTTAGATAGATACAAATGTTTATGAAATTTCCTATTTGCATATGAATATGGTTCAAATTCAATCAATGATTCATTTGTATAGCCACCAGCATTAGGTTTAGGTGAATATTTTGTTTAGAAATGATGCACTGCTTGTTTTAATTTTATCTTTTACAAAGGCGGCGGCATTCCTGAAGCTAAAAGAGCCTCTGAGCTTAGTGAACTGTTGGGTTTAAGCGTCTCACCTTCTCAGGTTTGTTGGAAGAGTTATGCTTTATCCCTTTTTATTGATCAAGAAAGAACACATTAAGGAAAACATGAATCCAACTTTTGTAAAATGAATTGCTTAAAGATTGATTTGGATGAGTTGTTGAAGTATGATGTGGCATATTAGGGGCTTCTTGTAGGTGGTGACTATGCAATCCAAGATGAATTTCTGTAAATTATTCCGTTGAAGACGCTCTTAGTATAATTTAAAATTTTTGATTTTCGAAATGTGCTGTAGTATTATATATAGTAAGTAATGATTCTTTCTCTTCCCGTGTATGATAACAGTAATGGACATAGTATATACAATACATGATGTGATTTAGTTTTCTGTTTGTTTCCTGCAGGCATTTTTATCTAAAACTTTACAACTAGGGACTACTTTTTCACATTGTTGTCCTAAATTCTTTTTGGGAAATTACTGAGGTTCTGCCCTTGATTGAATGTGATCATTATGCAGGTTTTGCAGGGTCATTCTCCATTTAGACAATTGGTCGATAGGTATATGAGTGCTTCTTATCTGAACTGGCTGTATATGGTTATATATGCTGAAACCAGCAATTATTCCATTGCACTATATTTATCATATAGAACTTTAGTTTACAGATTTGAGCATAAACTCATTGTTGCTGTGGGAAAAGGGGAACCAACTTCGGTGATGTCTGAATATGGTTTTAAGTAAGGTTTTAAGATAATTGTCTTGTCTGATATTTTATGATTTCATTTAGAAATCAATCTAATGTCATTTTCAATGTCTTGTTATTTTGTTCTTGTTTTTTATGTTCAGAAATGTTATCTCAATTGATGAATATGCATCGTGCTTTGAAAACATTGATCCATTGGCACCATACAAGAAATGGACAACAAAGGTGGCTGCTACACAGAATCCAAAGTTTGATGAGAGTGGTTCACAAATTGATGTCTTCTCTGAAAGGGTTCAAGCAGCATTCATAGTTAGTGATCCTGTTGATTGGAGCAGGGACATACAGGTAACAGATTACAACAATCTTATATGATTGTTCCACATCAATTCACTTTCCTTTTCCTCTCCTGCATATTTTGAGGGACATTCAGGATCATAGTTTCTATGACTTTTTTGTATGCATGGTTGTCAAACTTTCATAAAACTATGAGTTTGCGAACAACTCTAGGTATCAAAATTAAGCTATAACTCGCTTAGAAAATTGTTTCTGCGTAAGCTCAGGTAGACTCACATTGAGTTATGATTTAGAGGACAGTTGATCAAGTCTACAACATACTAATCATTTTTCACTAGACATGCCTAACATATAAGTTGTTTAGAGATTTATAAAATCCAAAAGGCTCCAACTGAATGATAAGACTCCATATAGTGTGCAAAATATTAGCCTTGTGGATGTAGCACTTAAACATGCACAGATTCATTGTTCCATGTTTGCTTGAACCCGACTAGATGAGCTGAAATACAGCTCCAACGAGGGAAACCTTGTGGTTTGTCAATTTGTCCTTTGATTGTAAACTTATTATGCTCTTTCTGATCTGGTCTGGTCTGGTCTGCGTAGAGTACATCATGTTTGACAATCTTGATCACAGGTTCAAAAGTAATGGTATGATTAAACAGATTTTAAAATAAGCATTGAAAAGTTAATGGGAAATTAAGTCACCATGAAGCTATTACTTTCCCACTACATGATTTGTACATACAATGAAACAAAACAATTAGATTATTAATTCACTTGGTCTCTCTCTACATGGAACCAAAATGGAGAGGAGTAACATCTAACTTATTTTGACAGTTGAGACTTTCTAGCTGCTATTCACTTTACTAGATTAAATTTAATCACATTTGAATTTTAATTTGGCTTCTATTTCTAAGAGCTGAGAATAAATAACAAAATTTTCCACTTCTTTCTGGTTTCGAAGTTCTTATATTTTTGTCTTATGAATCAAATCGATGGATCTATGAACTGACCAAGACTTCTTATTCAGGTTCTCTGCGACATCTTGAAAACGGGAGGGCTTCCGGGAAGAAATGTTGGAATGCAACCGCAATTATATTTTGCAAATGATGACCTTGAATACCAGGTTGGTTGATGTTTGCTACAGATAAGACTTATGATACAGATCATATGAATCCCATTTAAAATATTATATTATTATACTCACTAACAAGGGTCTACAAAAGGTAGACTAAATTTCCTTCTGAACGTCTGGGCATGGGAGCTTTCAGGATTGCATTAGAATCCATTTTCAATAGGTAAGACTGCTTATTATCTTATTGTTAATGGGCATTATCTGATTTAGTTTCTTTAAATTTGATACTTCAGAAAATACACATATATGCAATAACAGATCTAAGTATAGACACTGCCATTTACTAGTATTTTGACAAACTCATTCAATATTGTATTGTAGTTAGCGGCCACAACATATTATATATTATATACATATTTAGTCTTTCAAAAACATTCACCTATGACTGTGAAACACACTCTATCTGCAGGACTCATCCTCATTCCCTGGAGTACACATGTTTTGGCAAACCAAATCCATCTGTATTCAAGAATGCAGCAACTGTGTTACAGCAACATGTGCCCCGAGTCTATGAAGATTTCAATGACATAAGTCATAAAAACGCCCAACATTTTCAAAGACTTTACATGATTGGAGATAATCCTGCAGTGGACATTAGAGGTGCACGACAGGTATGTCTATTGAATTTGGAATTCACAATTATTTGCTTACAAAATGCTTCTGATGAAAATTCTGCATTTCAGACTGGGCATCCTTGGTTTTCTATTCTCACGAGGACTGGTGTTTTCAAGGGGAAGGAAAATCATGACAAATTTCCAGCAGATCTGGTATAATCATGACAAAGTGTTGCAGTGTTTACCAATCGGTGGTTATTATAAACTTATAATACAACTTCGCTTGTGCAGGTTGTTGACACCGTGGATGAAGCTGTGGACTACATCCTGGCAAAGGAAAACGCTTAATTGTTGTGATATGCTTTACCTTGCAAAGGCTCTGAATGTTAGCATAAAGGGTTAGTGATAAAAAAAAGCTATGCTTTATGGCTTAATTCTGCCATAATCCATTCATTTAACGAACGTGTGATTGATTATTTTCCCATTCCCACATGTTTGTTTTTTCTGATAGAAAGCTTTAAGTTGGCAGCTTAATTTAACTACACTTGAGTTGTAAATTTATTTCAAGAATGGATGGGAGTTTCACTTTTTAATCCGTCAACAACCGTACTTCGGAGAAAACAATTAGATGAAAGAAGACATTCTTCACAAATCAACAAGGAAAAATGTTACACGGGTATAGCTTTTATGTGGTGGTATGTTATTTCAAGATTGGATGGGGGATTCACTTTTTAATCCCTCAACCGTACTTCGGAGAAAACAATCAGAAGAAAGAGGACATTCTTCACAAATCAACTAGGAAAGAGAGTTTATACCATAGCTTTTTAGCAAACAGGCAATCAAAGAAAAAATGAAAAGTCGATTTAGAGTTTGACTCACATAAGAAGCACTCACATCAGAAGCACGGAGATGTCAAAGATCTACCTCTAAATTGAAGCATATCACCGGTAGGAATCAGTTGGAACCTTATTATGCATTAGTCTCCAAACGAAAAGAGATTTAAAAGGAGGAATATCGATAGATTAAATAACCTTTTCCCAATAAAGAGAAAAGAAGCAGAAGCTTTTAAAAGATCCGCATCTTTTAGATTCAAGTCACCTGTAATAGAATTCTTACAAACCAAAAGATCATCAATTATACCAAAAGGAGACTTGATGGTAAACAACTTAAGGCAAACCTTAGGGGAAAAATCATGCTAGTCAGGAGGAATAATCCAGACATTATCGCAAATAAATTCTGTCACCTTAGCCAGGACTGATATACCTTGAGAAGCACCTAAGTAGTTTATAGGGAAATTACCTTTTGAAAAATCAGTTGTATCCACAAAAAGATAAAGTCTAGCTTCTCACATTGAACCGGAGTAAATGGTGGATTTTGACTGACTAAAGATTTGACCAGAAACAGCATATCTGGAGAAAATATAGTTGAGAGATGTAATATTAGAGAACCTCCCTTTGCAGGAAATAAAGCTATCACCAGCATACAAAGTGTGAGAGGGAACTTTGACTTATCTTGTCCTAGCTTTAAGATCAAGCTTTCCATCTTGTACAAGCGAAGAAAAACTTTTACTAAGGACATCTTCAGCCAAACAAAATAAAAGAGGAGAAAGAGAGTCATCCTGCTTCACCCCTCTATTACATTTGAAGAATCTATGAGTTGTGTCATTGATGATAACAAACAGATGAGCTGAATTAAGAATAGTGAAGATCCAAGAACAAAACTTATGATTGAAGCCAAATGTAGCGAGAACTTTAATCTAAAGTATCAAAAGCCTTTGAGATATCCACCTTAATGGCTAAGTTTTCACCAATAGATTTCCCATCGAGCAAGTTAATAGACTCAGAAGCCAGATAAATATAATCTTTGATATTTATGCCTTGGATGAAGCCTCTTTGCTCCTTGGAAGTGGTGAAAGGCATTAAAGAAGCTAATTTGTCAATCAAAACTTTAGAAATTGTCTTGAATTTGAAATTAGCCAAAGCGATTGGCCTGAACATTTCAATGGAATTTGCATTATTAGATTTCGGGAGGAGAATGATGTTGTTGGAATTGAAATTAGGCAATATCCAACCCTGAATGAAAAATTGGAGAACAACATTCAAACATCCTCTTTGATGATATCCCAATAGGTTTGATAAAAGATAACTCCAAAATCGTATGGCTCAAGAGCATTGTCATTATTTAAGCTAAAAAAATACATTTGAGATTTCCTCCAAAGAACGTATCATTGTGAGAATAATATTCACGTTGTCAGTAACCAAAGTAGGAATGGCCTTATCAAATAAAGAAAGATCATTTTCCACCCTCTCTTAATAGAAATCGTTGGTAAAATAGTTGACTACATGGGAAGCAATTTTATCTTTGTCTATAAGGGATCTGTTACCATCCTTGAGCAAAGAAATAGGCCTGCAAGCATTCCTAATTTTGGTAATTATGTGGAGAAAAGTTGTGTTCCTATCACCATGAGTCACCCACTTAAGCACACGCTTCTCATGCTAAAAAACTTCTTCCATATCAAGAGACTTTTTCATTTCCACCCACTTAAGCACACGCTTCTCATGCTAAAAAACTTCTTCCATATCAAGAGACTTTTTCATTTCCAGTTCGGCTAACTTTTTAGTAATCTGATTCGTTGTCGCAAACAGATCAAAAACGAGTTTAATACACGTAATATACGGAAGTGACACTCGAGTTGCATCGTAAGGACTCTTGATTATTTTAACCAGTCGATTAAAACAAAAAAGGATTTAGGTTTTCGATTATGATTATGATTAATAAAATTTGATTATGAATAATATTACCAAGCTCATCTACTGTTTTGGTTTCTGACTTATCATTGGTTACTACCTTATCAATTTTCTTAGCGGGTTTGATCCCTATTCGATTACAATATCGTTTAAACAAGCACAATTGATACGGTAAAGTTTTAGCTCCTATTTTCTGAATGAAGCAAATGGTTAAAGATTACGCGAAATAACGAAAAAGCTACGTTTAAACACAATTATGATTAAGGAAAGCAAATCAATCAAATTTAATCAAAACTACTCCATCACATATCAAATTAAGAAAATGAAATTGACAAAACATAATTGAAAAGGAAAAGAAATTGAATTGATAAATGCAAAAAAAAACCTCAAAGTTTCATGGAAACATGATTCAGTAGATCAACTCTATGTAATTTAGCTCTCCACGAAATTCTTAACGGCGGTCTATTCTAAATCATGTGAAATCTGAACGAATGAAAACAAAGTTGTGGATTTACTTAAATAATAAAAGGGGAATCAGACCCTAATAGCACATGACTTGAAAAACATAAAAATTGATCCAAAACTAATTATTTTATTAAGTTTGGAGATAAAACAAATTATTCGACCCTTTTGCACTTAGAATTTGCTTATGACTTCAACACAAAACTTTTAGCTGATCCTTTCATCTTTCCAACTCATATTAGAATGCATCAAACCGCATCCCGTAGCTCAAGTTATGATCTGCACAACGAGGTGTCAAATTACCGCTTATTTAGAAAATAATTAACCGAATTAAAATAAAAGCATAAATAAGCTAAACATAAGTTTCGATGCGCGATTTTCGAAGGTCGTCGTCCTTAACAGGTGAACTTTTAATTTATCCTAAAAAAGGGAAGAGGACAAAATCTAAATAAACCTGTGGGAGTGCAATGTAAAACAATGCAATGAGAGATTGAAAGTTCGGAGTTGGTTATACTAAGGGAACGTATTAGCACCTTAAGTATCTATGGTATCCTATAGGAACCTCTTATGTATATTTGTGTTACTGTTGATTGAGTCATCTGTTGTGTATTGGGGATTTGTTGATTGCTTTGAGTGAATGATAAGAATGGGCAATGTTTTTGTTGTTTTTGTAGGGTATGTTGAAATAAACCAAGACAAAGGTGTAGGAATTATTTATTATTGTGCTCGCTAAGATTTCACAATCTTATACTTACGTATTCTCAAAAGGAATTTGAGAAATCAGAGCGTTCGTAGTTCCACCTACTAATGGGTGGAATTGGGTTTGTTGGGTTTGAGATAAGAGACAAGTTGTCATCTTAAAGGAGATATCTTACCTATTCACCACATACATTTTGAGAAAGAAGATAATAAGGGAAGAAACTTTAAACTTGGATGTAGAAAATCTAGTGTAATGCCGCATCTTCCTTTAAATGAGTATTTGCGTAATAAGAGAAGGACCTTGACTTGGATATACAATCAACAAGTGTGTCATTTACACCACTTAAATGAAAGAAGTATTTTTTTGTACCATAATAAGAGAAGGACTCTAGCTTGGATTTTGAATCAACAAGTGTGCCACTTACATCACTTATATGGAAAAGGTTTGAAATGTCTGATTTATGGTGTGGGGAATAGAAGAGACATATCTTCTATAGAGATGATTCATGTCTCATCTCGGAGGGGAAAAGTTTGAGTTTGAAGCCAAAGGTTGACTAGTGGTTGACTTGAAGTTTGAGGTTTGAAGGTTTGAAGTTTGAAGGTTTGAAGTCACAAGGGCTATGGTTTGAGTTTTCGAATGAAGTTGAAAACTTCAAAGGAGATCATAATGTTTTATTGAAGTTGAGAACCTCAAAGGGGATCCTAGGGTTTTAACTGAGTTATAGTTTGAACTGAGTTTAAACTTGAGGATGAATATTGAGATGCAACAATTGTTTGAATGCAAGTGTTATGAACACAAATGTCAAGAGAAACTTAACAAGACAAATTTGATTAAGCTTTTAAACAAATGTAGTCATCAAGGATGGAATGAGCATGATTGATCAAGCATGGTATATCAACATGTGAATGAGCATCACACAAGTAAATATATTCATCATGGTGGGAGTTTATGACGGAAATACTTGAATATGTGAGTAAATATTTAATCTATTGAAGCAATCACAAATAAATTCAAGCAAGAATATATTCAAAATGAATCAAAGATCAGATGAATATAGCAAAGGGTGAACAAAACCCTAAGGTTTTAACTAACATCAACTAATCAAGGTATTTTTCAAAGGAAATAACACCTAATCATGGTATGTGTAAGTCAAGACAACATGTTATGTACATTAAACAAGACTTAGACAAATTATATTATGACCATACAATCACATATGTACAATTAGTTAGGTCAAGAGAATAATCAAAAGAAATCATGAAAAGGTAGGAAAAATACTTAAAAAGTACTAATTTTCAACCTAATAAAAATGACAAAATAAACATTATTTTTGGGATTTTTTGATGGATTCTCAAAATATACAACATAAATGGGAAGTATGCAAAAAATTGGCCCAAAATAATTAATTTTGCTTGGTGAAATAATTAGATGAAGTTGTG